GCGTTTAGAGTAGTGACTGACAGGGCCAGTTTTTTCTCTGCTCATCCTAGATGAGGACAAGAAATTGAAGTGGATAGGAAGAACCTATTTCCCTTTAGCAGGGGGGTCAACAAGCCGGTGATATAGATGTGAAGTTATTGGCCAATTGATTAAAGGGACGTAGAGAGTGTTTTTCCTGCAGGTGGTGGTGGGCACCGGAAGATCATTACCTAAAAGTGTGGGAGAAGCAGACAATCTCAACGTGCTTTTAAAAAAATACTTTGTGCATTTGAAGTAGCACAGCCCCCACTGGGTTCCAGATCAAGAGCTGGAAAATAGAAGTAAACTGAAAACCTCTACAAATAGTGTGGGCACTGTGGACTGAATGATCTCCTGAGTCATCAAGTTCCTGTTCTATAATTTCCTTTTACATGGTGACCATTTGGTGGTCCCGTTTCCTATACACTCACCCCTTCCTCTTGCTCCCAGAATCATAAAATGTTTCCCTTTGTTCTCGCACCTTCTAGTCTACTCGTTACTACATTCAATAGATCATCCTCCATTATTCCTATCACGTCAGTCATGATACCCCTCCCTTCTCAGCATTCCAAAGTGGTTGGTTCTCTCTCAAATGCCCTGAAATTTCCCATTCCCCACCAGATGTACTCAACAGTGGGAGTAGATTGCGTTCCACATTGTGGTCCACAGCTTCTAGTTGCATGTCATTTTAATTCTTCACCCTACTCTCACTCCTTGTGCTCTGCCTTCTTTACTGCTTAATGGAAGCTTGAAGAACATCTTCTCGGTTTTGGCACTTGTATGGTGGGCTCAACATTGAGTTTAATAAGTTAAAGTCCTAAACTCTGCCCCCCCCGTTTTTCATTCAACCGCTTCTGGCACTGCATCTGCTATTGTTATTTATAGCCGGTATTGGCCCATTATTTTTTTTTTTCTTTGTCTTGTCCAATTGTTCCACTTTTAATCATTTAATTCCTCTTGCTGAGCAACCCATCTTAAACCCCTTTTTGTTCTTTCATCACTGGCCCTTTTCCACCTTTGAACGTGCACAAAACTGGTTATGCCTTTAATGTTTTCTGGTTCTGATGAAAGGTGAACTGTCTCCACAGATAATTCAGCAAGAATACTTAAAGCTTTTTTTCTGTTTTTATTTTGGATTATTAACATTCATATTGCTTTTAACTTATTACTTGTGTTATCAGGTGACATTCTGGTCTTTGTGTAGTTTCCATAATAACTAGCAGCAGCCCTGCTGTGATTTGACTTTTAGTATTCAAATCCTGAGTACTCAATTAGGTACAACATTCATCACCTACACTAAATATTATCTTGAAATTGTGGTAACCATGCGCAGAAGCTTTTCACTTCAATAATGGTGTAGTGTTTCATTTTCCATATTATCATGAAGTGACTGTGTTCCAGTGTAGATGATATTAAACCATTTGCTTTCATAAGCTTTTGATAAACTCTAAACATCTGCATTAATTTCAATTAACTTCACACTTGTTGATGAAAGGCTTAAGACAGATTGCTGCTTTATACAACACCACTTTGTTGAAAAGGTTACAGAAAATTGTAATCACATGATTTTCATCCAGCAGCCCAATCATTTGTTGCACGCTATAAGCTGTGATACTCCATTTTCTAAACAATAGTCGAGTCACAGCCAGACTAATTTATTTTTGAGCTACTGTACAATTTGCATATATAGATATGTCACTACAATGAGATTTTTGATAGAGGGTCATTCTATATTCACCTTTTTTAAACTTTCAACAGATTTGAATGTTGCTAAAAAAGAATTACTTTTATTGCTTATCTGTAACTGTCCTCCAGCAGTTGGTGATGGGTCATAACTGTTGTCTTGGTGGTGAAATAGTCCCACAAGTAATGATACGAGATAGGAAGTTCAAATGAAGTCTGTAAGGACATTCAGGACTTTGACCCACTGACATTTAAAAAAAAACGATATGTTTTCAAATCCGGAAAGCATGTGACTTCAGGAAATTTTGAGGAGGTGGTGCTCTTGTATTCCTGCTAACTTCATCCCTTCAAGTAGCAGTTTTGGGAGATGCTGTCAAAAAGTAGTAAACTTCTTCAGTGAACATTATATAACCTGCAGCAGTGGTGCACTGTTGGTGGGGAGAGTGAATGTTTACAGTGGTGGATGAAATGCAGATTGGTGTCAAGCTTTTTGAATGTTGTTGAAGCTGTGCTCATTTAGAAAATTACAGCATATTCTGTTGCACTCCAACTTGTGCCTTGTAGATGGTAAGTTTTTGAGTTTTAGGAGAGTCACTAGCTGGAAATTATCTAGTTTCTGTGATCTGCTTTGTAGCCACAGTATTTACGTGGCTGATTCTGTTAAGGTTCTGATTAATGATGACCTTCAGCTGGAGGTGTTGGTGGAGTTTGATATTTGTTACGACCAAGATGAGAGGGTGCACGGTTTCCCTCATCCCAATACGCCACAAGCCATGACATAACGTAAAAATGTTATACCTAAGTCTCGTATGGCCAATAGTATGCTTTCTTTGTATTGGACTTGGAATGAAAAGATCAGGTTTCCAACTTAATCAAAGAATAATGTTGTGTTTATAAAGTAAAGCCCATTCAATAATTTATGCAGAATTGATGAACACAACACTTGTAATGTGAATATATAAATGTTTACACCTCTAAGTAACTTAAACTCCATGCACTGTAGAATCATAGAGTTATACAGCATGGAAACATACACTTCAGTCCAACTTGTCCATGCTGACCAAGTTTTTTCCAAATTAACCTAGTTCCACTGACCTGTGTTTAGCCCATATCCCTCTAAGTCTTTCCTATTCGTGTGCCTGTTCAAATGTCTTTTTAAGTATTGTAACTGTACCTACATCTACCACTTCGTATGTGGAATGAAATGCCAGATGAACACTCTCTTTTTGTGTGGAAAAGTTGCCCCTCAGGTTCCTTTTTAAATCTTCCTCCTCTCACCTTAAAAAATGCCTCCTAGTTTTGAACTGCCCTATGCTAGGGAAAAGACCTTTGCTATTCACCTTTATCCATGTCCCTCATGATTTTATAAACCTGTACAAGGTCGCCCCTCAACCTCCTATGCTTCAGTGAAAAAAGTTCCAGCCAGCCTCTCCATATACCTCAAAGCCTCCAGTCCTGGCAACAACCTGGTAAATCTTTTGAGCCCTGTCCGATTTAATAGTATCCTTCCTATAGCAGGGCGATTGGAACTATACCCGATACTCCAAAAGTGGCCTCACCAGCATGTTGTACAACTTCAACATGATGTCCCAACTCCTAAAATCAGTGGTCTGAGCAATGAAGGCAAGCACGCTAAATGCCTTCTTAACCACCCTATCTACCTGTGACGCAGCTTTCAAAGAACTATGCACTGAACCCCTATGTGCCTGCCTCTCTCTTTCTTTCTCTCTCCTTCGTGTGCTCTCTCCCTGTTAGATATTTCTCTTTCTTTAGAATTTCTCTTATTTTAAAAAGTAAAACATGTTCGGATATTGGTTGTTATCCTTGGATACAAATCATAAAAGAAAAGGTGTAGAATGTTCCAAAATCTTTCGACCTTGTGTCCTCGTACATGTGGTCAAATGACTAAACATGCGCAGTTGTTTCTGGAGTCTTGTAAGGCTTGCTCAGGAAATATAATATTGAGAATTTTTTGTTTTGTTCTTCTGGAAGAGTGATTGAATCAGGTCTCACCCTGATGTCACAGCCCAAGTGTTTCAAACAGGAGATACAGGCTGAATATCTTGTTCTGTAGCAGGTAAAGTAAACATTTCCACAAGTAAACATTTCAAATCAAACTCCGTGCTTGCAGACAATGTTCAAGTAAAACCCTGTATTTTAACAGTCAAATGTTTCCCCTGAACTGTATTCAGACAGTTATCTAAAATCATGTAAATTTCTGAGAAGCCTCCTTTCAAGCAATGGTTTGGATAGGTTTTTCAGTGACTTTTTTTTTCAGACCTAATCCAGATATCCGCAATCTTCAAAATTCAAATTCTCAAAGTATTAAATCTGAAACTGCTTTCAATACATGTTGGTAATGCTTTCGTATTTGGGCTCCTTCTTATTCAAGCTGTTATTGGCCGGTGCTTGTGTGGTGCAAGTGTTGGTTTCTGATGATGTAAGTATGCAACATCTGTAAAGTAATATCTTTATTTTGTAGTTTAAGAAGGAGTAGCTATTGCTCATACCGTTTGAGAAAACCAGAATTGTCACTGATCAATGTAAACTTCTGTGAAAGAGTCTAACCTTGTATAATGAGCAGGTGGATGAACTCCAATTTCACATGAATGCTGCATTGAATTTCAGAGCAAAGCATTTCATGAAAAATCTCTTGAATCTGGAGTGTTGCAAACCAGCAAAATTTGCCTGCTACAGGTTGTGTTGGCTTGCAGTGTGTATTTGCATTTGTGAGCCTGCAAGGCCTGCAAATATTAAATCTAAAATGAAATATTAGCAATCTTTCTGGCATGATTTGTTATTGGATCAGGCAGAGTAAAACCTATAAGGTCTAATGAACTCTAATGCAGAGTTGTATCTTTCGAAACTGCGCCACTTAATTTAGTTTCCCTGTTTATTAACTTGGTTTGTCATTTGGTGTCGGAGCTTTGCATTAGTCACTTTCAGGTGTGCTTATGGAATGGTTTATCTGCATGGGTTAAGTATAGTTTCCATCAAGCTTTCATCAAGAGTGCAGAATGGGAAGCGTATGTATTGGATCTAAAATTGCTGAGGACAGATATGGAATTCAAAGTTACTGTGTTCTTATGCTGTAAGTAAATTAATATCTTGAGAACATTTCAATGGCTGACTACTTATCTATTTTAAATCTGGGATACAGTTAATCATGAACTGAAAAACAAAGACTTCAACCTGAGTTATTGCAGTTTTGTGTGTTTTCTCCAATTTTAAATGTAAGATGTAGAGATAATGTGAATTCATAGTTGTAAAGAATATTACAATATGTACTTTGTCTACAGGATGTCTGCAGTCTTTGGCGGAACATACTGTTTGCGACATACAGTGAAATGCTTGGTGGTCGACAGAGAAACATCGAGGTAAGGACAAAGGCAATGACCTGCCTTTCTCACAGCATATTGGGGGAAGACTGTATAAGGGCTCATGAAAAAGGAGCCTTCTTCTGGGATCATCTAAAGTATTAATCACAGATCAGCCTTGATTAAAAGTTATTTGTGTAAAGGTCCAGCAAACAGGGAAACTTGGTCTAGAATATAGAAACAAAATTAATTTTCCTGAGATATTACAACAGCTCCTGATCACCCAAGCTTGGAAGACAAATCATTTGAGCTGCCAGGGGCTAGTGATGAGTGATGTTAGTTTTTCCTTGTGGCCTTACCTACACTAATTGATTTTCATCTGAAGACAAAAAGGCTCTGTGTTGTTGCATTTTATAAATTGAGTTCACCAAAAGATTCACCAGATTAATCGCTGTTGATAATGCATGTCATTCCAAAGAGGAAAAGACTTTGATGAATTTTTAGAAAGTTCATTGTAGCAAACTAGGTCGCTCTTCACATTTGATAAACCCTTTTATCCACAGTGGCAAAACTCAGCTAGGATTGTGCAGCTGTATATCCCATTTTGAGATGAGTAATTACAGCCCTCGAGTTTCATAAGGGAAGGATTGAAGCAGACCGTGCAGGGTGGTTACATCAAATGAATCGTTCTGTTCTGTTAGTTTCATTTGATTAAGATATGAAATAATACAGGCCCGTCAGCTGTTAACCTCAGAAATACTTTAGAAAAAATATTCACACAACTAAGGGATGTCTGCAGATGTAAAGTACTGTTCCCAAACAGATTTGAAACTAAGTCGGAATACTTGGTGATTAAAAAGTGGAATGCATTGAAAGATGGTCACATACCAGACATTCTGGTTTGAATGTGAAGAGTTTAAACATTTACTATCCCTGCTTTTAACTTGGGATGTGGACCTTGAAATATACTGCTGAGTAGTTGTCACCAATACAGCAAGGCAAAAAGCTGGTTTGAACAATGTTTTTTTTAATCACAATTTTAAAACACAGCTCTTATTTCATGTAATACATCATACATTATCAGAGGCGCAGCTTGCAAACAAGGAATGACCCATTGGCCCAGTTAGTCTGTCTTGGAGATTTGATGTCTGATGTAGTATGTTGCAGACACTTCCCACTATCTCACCTGAGATGAAAAACCACCTCAGAATCATGACAATTACAAACTCCTTTGGACACTAGAAACTTCATTCACTGATGAAAGTGACAGAAGAAAGAAGCATTTAAACTAATTCCCCATTTTGAATTACGTTAGTAATAGGTTTCCATGACTGATCATTTCAGGTTTGATTATTTAGTCATTCATAATTTGTCATCTAATTGACTTCTGATTTTATCCCTTCATTCTTTAACTCTGATTTATAGCTGTTTGGCTTTGAAACTGACAGTAATATGTGATTTTAAAAATTAGGATGAATAGAAAACTACACCCACTGACTACATTGTTAGTAGTCCTTCTTCTGTGATGATCAGTTGGTCAGTGGTAAGAATCATCCACTGATACCATAGAATGATTCCAAGACAGAAGACTATTCCTAGAGGTCTGGTTTTCAACCTGTAATGCAATCAACAAACATTTGGAATTAGACCTCGTATACAAACCCATGCAAAATAAACCCGCAAATGACACAACCCAACTTAACAGACCAGATCATATAAATTCCAAGTGGAGTGGAACAACATTGCTTCATCGGAGGCCACACTGATGATGTTACCTAGCATGGTAATGAAACATCTGTAGGATAACCAGCCAGCTCAGTGAACAAGCCAGCAACCTCATCCACAACCCGAGCTACAAATCTTCGCAAGAACTTTGTACACTGGTAAGGCTGCTGATTGTGGCATTCAGATATATTGTGGATGTAGTAAGGAGGAAGAGGAAGTTGAACTCTACTGGAGCTGACCTATGTATAATTATAACCTGAACAATTGCAAATTTAATGTTTAGTGTCTATAGATAAAATGATAAATTATCCCTGTTTCCCTTCCTACAAATAGCCAGTTTGCTTTAAGACCCACAAACAGCAAAGCAATAAAAAGAGAAACTTTGAAAGTAGGGGAAGTGACTTTCATTGTTCACACGTGTGCCATTGTTCTGATATCCAAGGCACACTTGAATCTAATCTGCTAGTCGCTCGACAAAATACCCTTGATCAAGTTTCCTTAGATCATTTGAACATCTGTAGAGTATAAAAGATGAGACAAAATTACTAAGTTTGTGGAATCTTCGTAGTTTTTGGAAGAGAATCAAGTAGTCTGACGTAATTTCATGATCTCTGTCGAGTCATTGAACCTGAAATTTATCATTCATGAAGGATAAGATTCTATTCAAAATTAACAGGTGATGCCTAATTCAGATTAATTTAAGTTTAAATTAATTTTAAAATGCCTGAATGCTATGTTTCAAAAGTTTAAATGGCAACCTTTGTAACCAAAGGTTCCTGTAATTAATACAGAGGAAATTCTAAGAATCAGAAACTGACAAAACCATTGCACAAAGAAAGGGCTGAAGATTTCTGTGAATAAGCAATCTCTACTTTAAAGTAAAAATGAAAAGTAGAGAAAATCAAATATACACAGTCTACAAGTTTGTGCTGTTCACTTATCCGAATAACTTAAATTATTAATCTTCGGAACTAAATTTTGTGATAACCTCAGAATAGGTCTAAATTCTTATATTCTCTGTACTCCATTTTCCTTCTCCTGCTGTGAGAAGATGGGCTGTAGGGGCAGTTGTAAACTCCCTTTTTGAGCCCCTACACTGATGAGAAAAATGAGCCTTGACCTCACTGCACATTTGCCTGATTTCTGTACCTCTGTTATCGAGGTGACCAAAAATCTCTTGACATCAGTCTTCAATATACACAAGGACCGATCCAGAGCCTTCTGGGATAAGCAATTTCAAAGATTTGACCTCTTTTAAATTAAGATACTTCCCTCGTCTCAATCCTAAATGACCAACTGTTATATTTAATTTGACCCCTCTGGTTCCAGCCTGGGAGTGCAACTTCTCTGTATCAACATTCAGAATCCTTTACTTTTCAATGAGATCATCTTTCATGCTTCTTAAATCCAAAAAGTGCAGGCTGATTCTACTCTTAAAAGTAGAAATAGGCAATCTTCTCCTCCCAAGAATTAATCTAATAAAAGTTTGTTGCACTCCTCCCAAGGTAGATACTTCCTTCCTTAGATACAGATATCAAAACAGTATTTGTAGTTGTATGCTCAGCAAAACCCTGTATAATTAAAGTGACATTGCATTCTCCTATACTCTAAACCTTTTGTAATAAATGGGTGACATGCTATTTGCTTTCCTGGTTCCATCCATTTGCCTTCCTAATTGCTTTGTAAGACTCTCCAGGTCAGAAGAACACGAGCCTTTTGCAGTTGATCACTCCAGCACACTGAGACCAACCACTTGAAAAATCATTGAGAGTTAAAAACCATGGATAAATCTGTCGTCTCTCTTGAGCTACTCTTGATTTAATCCACATTTCAACTTTGGTTGAGTAAACAAGCCATTACTTATTTGTTTGGGGCAGTTGTGGGTTTTTTCTTATTTCTTTTGGCTCAGTGTTATCAGCCACCTATAAACAGATATCACATTTCATGATATCACATTTCATAATATCTTTGAAGTTCCGTAAGGTGATAGCCCAAATTGTAATTTTAATGGACTCTTGCTCTGAAGTTATCAGGTCAAATTTACTTCATGAATCAGGTATGAAATTTTAGTCTGTTAATAATGATCTTAAAATCATTGAGTTATTATAAAAACCCTACTGGTTCACTCCCGTCCTTTGGGGAACAAAATCTGCCATTCCTATTTGGTCTGACCTACTTGTGGCTCCAGACACACACCAATGTATTTGGCTCTTAAGACAAAGGGTCTTTAAAAAAAAAAAAAAAAAAAATGGTGACTTTACATTACACTACATCACCACCACCAAACACAACTTCTCTTTCAGCATTTTGAAGACTCTTCCCTCTTTGATACCCTAACCCACTCCTCCATCACTCGAACACCCTGACCCTTTCCCATGGCACCTTTTCCACACAAATACAGGAGATCTAACGCTGCCCTTTTACTCCCTCTGTCTTGATTGTCTAAGAGCCCAAACACTAGTTCCAGGTAAACTAACATTTTATGTGCATTTCATTAATCTACTGTATTTGATGCTCAAATTGCAGTCTCTCCTATATTGGGTGTACACTTTGCAGAACACTTCTATTCTGTCTCAAGCATAACCCAAAGCTTCTAGTGGCTTGTCATTTTAATTCTCCTCTTTGCTCTCACGTTGGCATATCCTTGGCCCACTGCACTGGATTAAAGATGCCAGCAGCAGCAGGGTAGGAAGTGTTCAGGTTCCATGCCTGTATGCTGCAGCTCACCTGGCTGGCTGCATTCTTCTTTGTTCGTTCTTTTTTTTTTCTCTGTTGTTTTGTTGTTTCATTTTGCTCTTTTGTATCAAAATTCACCTTTTCTGTGACTGCAGTGGAGATAGGCAGTTGGGAGGGGCTGCTGCGGCAGCATGTTGGATCCGGATGTCTGTTCCCTTGTCCATAATGGCCATGGCTTTATCGAAGGCTTCATCGTTGGTGGGTCTGGTCTGTTCCTCCTGGCAGTGTGGCAGTTTCAATAGCGGCATGATGGTTCTGGTTCATTCATTGTAGCTATGGCGGCAATGGGGTGGCTTCAGGTGGCGACAGCTTTAGTGTCAATGACTTGGTGGGTCCGGTCTGTCCCTCCTCGCTTTGACAATGCCGTGGCTTGATGGTGGCAGTGTGGTGGATCCGTTCAACAAATCCTTACTTTGGTGCCCTCGGGCGGCTTTGGCAACAGTGTTCCATAGCCAGTCCATAAACCCAGATTGCCATGGAGGAAACAAAAGCCAAACTTTGTCTTAACTTTGTTCTAATTATTTCTTTTCATACCTTCTGTAAATAAAATGGCACCAAATTGTGGTGACTTTTACACATCTCACTATTTTCATAAAATT